GAGAGAGAGAGAGAGAGAGAGAGAGAGAGAGAGAGAGAGAGAGAGAGAGAGAGAATAGAATGGAAAGTGCTGTAGGCACTACAGAGGGCCCATTATCTCAAAATAATTATTCCCTTTTAGAAAGTCCCTGCAGCAAGGCTGGGGACAGAGAACAGATGTGGCTCTTAGTCAAGAATACTTAGAACCCAAACCAGAAATTCAGCTACGGGAATAGCTGTCAGCCAGGACGAAAGGCCATGTTGACATGATTGGTACTGAGCAATAGTGTCTAGCCCCTCGAAATGCAAATGCTGTTGTTTGCAGTACAAAAGCCCTGGTTTTCCCTTCAACAGAGCGTGTACTATTAAAATAGCATGTCCTGTGTGGAGTTGCCACACATTCTTTCCATTTTTTTCCCCTGTGTGAGTCAGAGTGCAGATTCTTGACAAGGCCGAAAAGGAAGCCATCTAATTTACATGGGCACTGAGTACCCACATCTGGATGGAGTTAGAGCGAGTGGGAATTACTTGCAACATTTAAATATAGGCGTGCAGAGCTTCCTTCTTTTGACCATATGAGGTATTCATGTATAATTCCATGAAAGCAAAACCTGAAAGTCTACTTCTTAGTAAAAGGAGTTGTTGCTCGTTCTATCATTACAGGAACTGATCCAAACCTAGAGGCAGTCTGTGAGTGGTATGAGGCCACTAGACTCTCCTCCACCTCCAATGGCTGTGGTGAGACAGCACCATCAAAGGCATGCTACAATCTGCCATGTTTGGACCAAGATGCTGGTGAGATCTGAGATCTGTCCCATCTGGAAATCCCAAGAAGGTGGTGAGTTGCAGATGCTGGGAAAGCTGGCTGGAAACCATTGTTAGTGTCAAGTACATGCCAGGTGGATCCTGTGGACTTCAAGGCTAGCATTGGCAGACTTGTTCAGTTTAAACCAATATAGAGAGAAAAATACGAATAACAGAGACCAGCCACTGGGAAGGATGATATGAACAGTTGATGTACAGGAATAGGGAGCCAAGGGGAAGACAGAACCCCCTTCTGAAGCTGGGGTTCATCAATACCCATTACTGACATCTAAAAAGGAACTGTACAGATCATCTAACTGAGTAGATACCATCACTGATGTGTAGATCATGGTGGCATTATTATAGACCGTAGAGTGGAAACTGGTAGACACATACAGAAGATTATGTGGTTAGAGCCCAAGGAGATAGGAAAGTTACTTTGTGACTTCTTTTGAAAGTGTTAAGACAATACTCAGCTCTGTGTTTCTGTGGAATTCTACCTTTTCCATGCTAAGTTTCTGCCAAGTGACATTTACTAGGATTTTGGGCATTTGGCCTTGATTTCTACATTTTTCTCTCAGGTTCTTGATAGTCTTCTGAAGTAACATGATAATACCATCTTTGCCATTGGCTCCATGAGAATTCCTTTCAGGGTGGGTATCTGTCTTTACTTAGGAAAAATATTTTCCAAGCTGCTAATGATGAGAATGAGCCCGGTCAAGCATTGGCTAACAGGCAGGAGAAGGCAAGGCTGCCTCACATTGAATGTAGGCTGAAAGGGGAGAATGTGTGATGAAGGAGAAGAAAACAGGAGGTGCAGAGGGGAAGCTTAGGATGGATCTGGAAAAGGCTCTAGAACGTGGATGATTGGGCATGGAAAGGCTCCCACTAACAGATGTCCACTACCCAGTCGGAAGTTTCTCGGAGGCAGCAATGGGAATCTTGCCCCTCCCTTGCCGTGGCTTCAATAAAGTCCATCTCTAGAGAGATGAATGTCCTTGACTGAGTGGGTTTGTTGGGTCCTAGGAACTGATGGGGTTTCACATTGGATTTGAGGAAATAGTGACTTGGGAGAGCATGCATCGCTAAAAGAATAGGAAGTTTAAAAGAGGAGGGTTCTTCAGCAATTGCTAAGCATTAATTCTTTTCTACCCACTAAAGAAATGTTCAATTCTTTATGCGAATGTTGCCATTCAAGTACACGTGAACATGCAAGTTAAGATAACTCAAGGCATGGTAAAACATGACACTTATTATTTTCAGATAGCATCCTAAAGTGAAAGACCATGCATGTCCCTGCCAGTCTTCCCATTTTGACTGGGTAGTGAATAACACAAGAGATGGAGTAACTACCTTAGACCTAAACTTAGGCTTCTTATGCTGAGGAAGACAGAACTTCCTTAGCAGGTCTGGATTGCCAACATCGGGACTATTAAGAAGAGAAAAACAAAAGCTAAGACACTGTAAGTTTCAAAATCACATTTCTTGTAACCTCAAGAAGACAAACATACATAGCCAATTATTAACATAACACAGAAATGCCACTGATTGTAAGTCACACCCTCAGCTCACAGCTGTTTAAAAATGAAAAATTTGTGCCCTAAAATCAAGAAAACATAATAATTTTTTAATAAAAATAGATTCTTTTCATACAATATGTTCTGATTATACTTTCCCCTCCTCCAATTCCCCCCAGTTCCCCACACCCCTACCATCAGGATCAACTCTTTCTGTTTCTTGTTAGAAAACAAATAGGTGTCTAAGGAATAATAATTAAATGAAATGAAATAGAGAAATTGTCTTTTTAAAGAGATTACTTATTGACTTTTGTGTATGTTTGTGTATGTGTCCATCTGAGTGTACATGAATGTGTGTGTGTGTGTGTGTGTGTGTGTGTGTGTGTGTGTGTGTGTGTGTGTGTGTGCAGGTGCTTGTGCACACAGTCCAGAAGAAGAACGTCAGGTATTCTTTCATCAGACTACTCTGAGGTAGGGGCTTTCCCTAAACCTGCGGCCTAGATTTCCCAGGCTAGCCTGAAAGTCAGCAGCCTCCACTGATCTTCTTATCTTTGCCCTACTTGGAGCTGGGGTTGCAGGTATATGTAATGTCCAGTTTGCTACATGGTTTCTGGGTTCCAAACTCCAGTCTCATGATGGTTGTCCTGCTTGGTTTTCTGTCAACTTGACACAAGCTAGAGTTACCCTGGAAGAGAACCCTCAGTTGTGGAAATCTGTCCATCAGAGCACCACAGTCAAGTCTGTAGGGCATTTTCCTGATTAGTGATTGATGTGGGAGGTCCTAGCCCACTGTAGGTAGTAACATCCTTGGGTATGTGGTCCTAGGTGGTATAAGACAGCAGGCTGGGCAAGTCACAGAGAGCAAACCAGCAAGCAGCATTCTTCCACTGCTTCAGTTCCTGCTTCCAAGTTCCTGCCCTGAGTTCCTGCCCTGAGTTCTCCCCATCAAGAACTGTAACCTGTAAGGTGTAGTAAGGCCTTTTCTCCCTAAGTTGTTTGTGCTCATGGTATTTATCTCTGTAATAGACGTTTAACTAAGACAGCTGTGAAGCAAGCACTCTTAACTGCCAAGCTATTTCTCCAGACCCATAAATTATCTTATTTAAGCCCTTGCACTTTGAGTCTTCTTACCATAATAGCTGATGGTATTTCCTACTTAACAGCGAATATTCCTCTAGGAGTCCCACCACAATGAAATGCAAAATAAATGGCATAGTTTATTGGGTCTTGAGAAGCATAGGTAAATGTTGTGGACTAGGAAGCTGGTAATCTTGTTCTTTTTAAGAAAAATACTCAGAAAAAAATGTTATTTATTTTGAAAGATAGATTGCATGGCATTAGATACAGAAACTTCAGTGAAACTGACCAGGAAAACTCAGAATATTAATATATCCTAGATACTTCTTGCTACTCTTAGGTGGATGACCTTGAGCTATCATAAAAGGGATGTAGACCAATTAGAAAAGAACTCTGGGCATTGGAGAGATGGCTCAGTGTAGATGAATTTCTAAACAGTTTTATTAAATAAGAAACACAGAGCCAAATACAGGGGTGAAAGCTGTAGAGATCAGAGAAATAGTGGTAGCCACCAACTAACCTTAGCTCACCATGCTGCAGTAGCTTCCCAAGAGAGCCGTCTTCTTCCTGTCTAAGCTGTGCTTTTATTGCCTTGCTGTTCTGCCTTCTCATTGGCTCTTAGCCCAGCCACCTCACTTCCTTGTCACTGCCTGTCTGTATAGACCTCCAGGTCTCTATGGTTGGTACTGGGATTAAGGGCGTGTGTCACCATGCTTGGTGCACAAAGACTCTGCCTGCCATGTGATCAGATTAAGGGTGTGTGCTACCACTGCCTGACTTTTGTTTATGGCTGGCTATCTATGTCCTCTGATCTCCAGGCAAACTTTATTTATTAACATACAAATAAAATATCACCACAGCTCAGTGGTTAAGAGCAGTTGCTGCTCTTTCAGAAGGCTTGAATTCTGTTCCTAGCACTCACATTGGTGGCTCACAACTGTTTTAACTTCAGGGATACCATGCCCTCTTTTGGCCCCCAAAGTCACCTGCACACACACACACACACACACACACACACACACACACACCCCACACACTCAAATAGATCTTTAAGAAAAGACAAGATCAGGCACATTCGGAGTGGTGCGTCTGTAGACAAAATGCAACTCTGGTCACATGAGTTCTTTAGCTACACTTGTGTATACAAGGATGGAAACAACTGGAACTAAAGAGTCAGAAACCAAAAAAATATTTTTTGAAAATTTTAATTGCCAATGAAACCACAATTCTTCTTTCTAAAAGCCTGGAATTCTTCCACATCTAAAAATACTCCAACTCCCCAATATGCCCCAAACGGGAAGAAAGTTGCAAAAGCCATGTTTGTTCCAGGGGGGATGTGTAAAGGGAAAGGAAGACCACAGAGGGGTGAAGTCAAGGGGGCTTTTCAGGTCATAGTTGTGACCTTTTGTGACTGGTATAGACACGTTACTGCTATGGTTTTTCTTTTACCTTTCTTAGTGCAAGGCTTGTTTATTTATTTTAGTTCCTCAAGTTAGCAAACAAAGTAATAGGTCTTGTTAGGGCATTTCCCCTACATATCTGTCATTTTATGTGTCCTTATTCATCCCCTTTCCCAACTACCTTCCTCTTCATCTCTCTGGTGGCTGGTCCTTCCCTCAAAAAGTCACCCTTCTGCTTTCATGTACATGGATCCCATTGTCCTCCTTTCCCGCCCCTCCCCCCTCATCTCTTAGGACTCTCTCCCCATGGTCTGCTTTCAAGGCTTACAAACATAAACACATATCAATTTAAATCTATATTCTGTATGTGAGAAAAAAACATGCAGTATTTTCAGTCTGATCATGGTCTGTTCATTTACATATAATGATCACTGATTCTATCCATTTTCCTTGCAAATGTCATGATTTCATTCTTTAGGGATGAATAAAATTCCATTGGTGTATATGTAACATATTTTTGTTTTGTTTCTTTCATTCATTCATCTATTGATGGACATCTAGGCTGGTTCCATTTTGTAGCTATTGAACAATAACTATGGATGTGCAAGTGTTTCTGTGATTTGTTGACCTAGAGTCCTTTGAGAATGTACCCAGGAATATATCTGAATCATATGGTATATAAATTTGTGGACCCTCTATACAAACTTCTATAGTAATGACACATGTTCATACCCACCCCAGTATACTACCCTTCTACAAATAGCAGTTTATAGATTCAATGAAATCCCAATCAAAATCCTCATTCTATTCTTCACAGAAATAGAAAAAAAAACTATGCTAAAATTTATATGAAACCCTAAAAGATCCCCAGTAACTAAAATAATTCTGAGGAAAAAGAACAATACTGGAGGGATTGCCATTCTAGATTTCCAGATATATTATAGAGCTGCAGTTAAAAAAAACAAACAAAAAACTATATGGTACATTGTTTTTTTTTTTTTTTACATAAAGACCAATGGAACAAAATCAAAGACCCAAACATTAGTACACATAACTTCAGTCATTTAATATTTGATAAAAGTACCAAAACCATACTCTGGAGAAAAGAAAACATTAATAGATGGTATTGAGACAACTGGAAGTCCACATGCAGTAGAATGAAAGTAGATCTGTATCTATTACCTTGCGAGTTGGAGGCCAGCCTGGTCTACAGAGCGAGATTCAGGAAAGGCACAAAGCTACCCAGAGAAAACCTGTCTTGAAAAACAAAAAACCCCACTAACTCCAAGCACCTAAATGTGAAACCGAAGACACCAAAACTCCTATAAGAAAATGTAGTCACATGACCAAAATCTTTGCCCAAAGCTTAAGGTCAACAATTGACAAGTGGGACCTCATAAACCTCAAAAGCTTCTCCACACATAAGAAAACCACTAGACGAAGAAGCCACAGAGTAGGAGTGAGTCTAAACGTATGACAGAGGATTAATATATAGAATATACAAAGAACTCCAAAACAGACAGCCAAAAACATAACAAAAATACCCTAACCCATTAAAAAAATGGGATTGAGATCTGAATAGTTCTCAAAAGAAGAAATAAAAATGGCTAAGAAATTTCTCAAAAATTGTTCATCATCTCTAGCACTTAGGGAAATGCATATCAAAATAGCTTTGAGATTTCCTCTTATGCTAGTCAAAATAGCAAAGATCAACGAAGTAACAGACAACAAATGCTGAAGAGGATGTGGGAAAAAGGGAAGCCTCATTCACTGTTGGTGGGATTGAAAATTGATCTGGCCACTCAGGAAATCAGTGTGGAGAATCCTCTAAAAGATAAAAATAAATCTACTATATGACTCAGCAATACCACTCGTCAGCACATTCCTGAGGACTTGACATCTTATTCCACAGTTACCTTTTCTTCCTTCCTCTCTCTCTTCCCTTGGGAAGCTATTGTGGATGAGATTTCTTCCTACCCTGATTTCTTTCTCAGCATTTATTATTGGCACATAGAGAAACTACCAGTTTTTTTTAAGCTGATTGATTTTGTATTTTGCTGCTTACTTAGTTGAAAGTATTTATCGGATATAAGAATTTCCTTGTGAAGTTTTTAGGGTTTCTTATATAGTATTATGTCATTTGCAAACAGAGAAGCTTTGTACCTTCTCCTTTCCCATTTTCATCTTTTTTATTTGTTTCTCTTGTCTTATTACTCTGGCTAAGACATTAAGGAGTATGTTAAGAGCAGTCAGTGGGCACTCTTGTCTTACTCCAGATTTTAGCGGGAATTTGTTGTTTTCCTCATTTAGTATAATGCTGGCTATCGGTTTGACATATGTAGTTTTTATTGTGTTGAGATGTATTTTTTCTTTGTCTAGATTCTTCAGAGTTTTTATCAAGAAGGGATGTTAAACTTTGACTAATGCCTTTTCTTCCTCTATTGAGATGATTGTGTGATTTCTGTTCCTAAACCTATTAATATGCTGTATTACATTTATTTTGAGTTCTGTATGTTGAACCAACCTCGTATTCCAGGGATGAACCCAATTTGGTCATAATATATAATCTTCTTAATATGTTCTTGAATGTGGCTTACAAGACTTATTGAGAGTTTTTGTGTCTATGTGCATCAGGAAAAGTGTATAGTTTTCTGTTTGTTGTGTTCAAAATTTGTTCTAGTTTTGATATTAGGATAACACTACCTTCATAGAATGAGTTTGATAGTGCTCTTTTTTTTTTTTCTATTTTGTGGAACAGTTTGATAAACATTTTAGCTTTTCCTTAAAGTTTTGGTAGAACTCAACAGTGAATACATCCAATATTGAGCCTTTCTTTGTGGGAAACAACTTTTTTTTTGTTGTTGTTTATTGAGAATTGCATACAATGTATTTTGATCACAGTCACCTTTACTCTCCCCTCACAGCTGTTCCAGGATCTACCCCCTCCCCATCCACCTCTCAAGACCAGTTTGTAACACCAGACTGGTGGTGGTGGTGTAGCCTTCTACTTAAAACAGAGATCATGGTTCACATGCCAGAGGCTACACTCTTAGAGAAAACTGACGCTCTTTCTCCAAGTAGCTAATAGTAGATTTTCACTAGGGCCTATGACCTATCAAGCCATAAGTTCTTGGCCCAATATCTTGGTACCAGATATGGTTTTCGTCTTCTGGAGTAGGACTTAAATCCAATCAGAAAGTGCTTGGTTACTTTCAGGAAGTTCCAAGGAACTTCTATTATACTTCATGCAGAATAATGACTGGCCGGACAAGACACGCATACTGGTACAATGGTGTCTTGCCAGACCAGCCATTATTGTAGCTTTCAGACTTCACAGTTGGATAGAATGTGGGAAGATTTTTATTACTGTTTTAATCTCATTGGTTGTTATTAAACCATTTAAATTATATCTTCTTGAATAAATTTTGGGGTCACATATTTATGAAATTATTTCTTTTCAATTTTTAAAACATAAAGTTTCAAAGTATTTGCCAGTGACCTTCTGAATTTTGTTGGACTATGATGTAATATCCCTTTTTGGTTCTCTAATTTATTAATTTTAGACTTCTCTCCTTTTGATTAATTTGTCTGGGGGTATGTGTCAATCTTGTTTATTTTTTCAAAGAACCAACTCTTGTTTGATTAATTCCACATATTGTTCTTTTAGTCTCAATTTCATTAATTTACAGCGCAGTGTTTATTATTTCTTGCCTCCTACTGCTTTTGGTTTAGCTTGGTGTTTTTCTAAGATTTTGAGTTGCATCCTTCAGTGATTTGAGATCCAGCTTTTTTTTCCCCCAACATAAGTACTCATAGCTGTAAACTTTCTTCTTAGAGCTGCTTTATTTGTATCCTACAGGTACTGATAAGTTGTGATTCACTTTTGTTTCATTCTAGGTATTTAAAAATTCCCTCTGTGAGGAAGAATTGTAGGAGCCAGTGGGGGTGGGGTCAAGCACTCCACAAGAAAACTCACAGATCTGGGCTTCTAGGGGCTCACAGAGACTGAACGGCAACCAGGGAGCCTGCATGGGACTGACCCAGGCACTGTGCATATGTTACAGTTGTGTAAGTTGGTCTTCCTGTGGGACTCCTAACAATGGGAACAGGGCCTGTCTCTGACTCTGTCGCCTGCTTTTGGTAGGCCTTTTTCTGAAGAGAAACAGGAGGAGGGGTGAGGGGAGAGAGGGAAAGTGGGAGGAGGGGCAAAGAGGAGAGGAGGGAGGGGAAACTTTGGCCAGGATGTAAAAACAGAAAAATAAGTAAACAAACGAACAGAAAGAGTTTTAAAAAATGTCTCTCCCTGATTTCTTCAGTAATCCGCTCGTCATTTAAGAGCACACCGCTCAGTCTTTGTGAATTTGTGTATTTTCTCTTGCTGTTGATTTTTGAGTGTTGTCCCACAATGATCTGGTTAGACGCAAAAGTTATTTTGATTCTTTTATAGTTTTTAAGAATGGTTCTCTGAGTGGATTGGGAAGTTAGGGGGAGGGGAGAGGGAATGAGAGGAGAGGAGGGAGGGGGCACTTTGGTCAGGATGTAAAATAAATGAATAAATTTAATTAATAATAATAAAGATATATGGAAGAAAAAATATTGTTCTGTCGTCTAAGATGTTTTAGATTTTACAGAAAGTACAGTGGGCTGCTAAGAAGAAAGGGGATTTCATATTCTCGTATGGAAAGTTCTGAGGGTATCTCTTGAGACCATTTAATCTGTGTTGTAGTTTCACTCTACAGTTTCTTTTTTATTTTTAGTTTGAATGACCTATCTAAGGACAAGAACAGGATAATGAAGTTACCCATTATAAACAAGACCTACATGACCTTTTAAACCACTAGCGTTTGATTTATGAAACTGAGAGTCCCACATTTATAACAATTGTTAAATCTTCTTGTGAATTATCCCCTTCATTAATATTCAGTGGCTATTTTTATCTCTTTTAATTTTTGTTTAACGTCTGTGTCAACCCATTTTCAGCTTCTGATTTTTTGATAGATTGACTTCTATTCTATGACTCTGTCTGTGGGCATTTCTATCAGTGAGGCCTGTCTTCTGGAGACAACAGATAGTTAGACCTCGTTTGCTAGTTTAATTAGCTAATATGAATTTCTTTGTTGGTAAGTTGAGGCCATTTACATGGGAGATTATTGAAAGATGCTATCAAGTTCCTGTAAATTCATTGATAGTTATTTTGGTTAGTTGGATTATTGCTTATTCCTTATTTTCTTTTCTATTAGTTTCAGAGAATTTGTTGATTTGTATTGGGCACAATGGGTTCTTTCCTAGCTCTGCTTATGAAGTTTATCCTTTCCTTCTTTATACTCATGACTAAGAATGTCTTTCTTCTTCACATGTAGATAGTATCGAAGTATCTTCTGCAATGTTGACTGGGTAGTCATAAACGACCTTAGTTTATGCTCGCCTTGAAATGTCCTTGTATTCCCATCAAATTTAAAAGGTAGCATTTTCAGTTTCCTCAAACAGGAGTTTTAAAAAATTTAAAATTTGTTTCTCCTCTACCATTATTGATCATGTGTGTACGCATGTGCTCCTTTGAGTGTGTGTATAGAAGTGGCAGGTCACTCTTCAATAGATCGCTAGGAGTCATATTTGGGTTTAGTGGAAAGACAGTTCCTCACAGAGGAACCAGAGTCTGGAGCTACATTCAGTAAGTAGCTCAGACATTGTGTTGAATCCCCAGGGATGAGGCATACATGCTCCATTGGCCAGAAGTGTGTGAATGGACGTTGTGTGCCTAGAAAGGTGGCATATGGTGGGGACAGTGATGGAGCCTGGTGGGTGTGCTCCAGCTTGTATTTTCTCTCCCCTTTGATCAAAGAATTTCCTTGGAAGCTGGACTTAAAACAGCTCAGGCAAACAAACAAACAAACGAACGAACGAACAAACGAACGAACGAACAAACGAAAAAACAAACAAAACAAACCCCCTCCTGTTCCCAGCTTCTTTCGCAGCTAGTTGTGTCGCGCAAGATGTTCCAGGAGCTGGAATATGAGCAGACATGGCACATCCACATTGTGACTTTAAGGCAAGGACATGTGCTCCACATGCGCTTTCTTTCTTCCTGCTGTCTGGAAGACAGATGTCATGGTAGGCACTAGATCAGTCAGCCAGAACTCAGGCATGAAAGCTGGACTGTGAGGCGTCACCATACCTTCCTTGTTCTGGGAACCACAGAACCGTTACTTGAGAAAGATTGATCTGCCATCTTGTCTGAGTCATTTTATTTCAGCTGCTTATACTGAACCCTGGGAAGTGCAAGTTCTAACCTTTAGTGCTCAATCTGTGGGTTCACAGGAATCTTCAGGTAGGCTTCTGAACAAGAGACCTAAGATCAACACTACATCTCAAGGAGCAGATGAGAAGATAAGATCTCCCATGGGTTTTCTATTTCCCAGAAACCCAGACAGGAAGCAGAGATGCTAATAATGCCCTAACAGCTGTTGTCCTGAAAGCAGTCCAAAAAGCAATGGGAACCTTGCTGTCCAAAAATGTGGATAATTTTTGTATGTTAAAAGTCACAAGGCTGCTTCCTGACATGGCCTACAAGCTGATACTTCAATACTGTTAGAGAAAGCCAACAAAGATCCAAGTGCCCCTCAGTCCCCAACTGAAAAATTTACCTAGTAATTCTTAAATAAAAAGAGATGCAAAAACCCTGTCTCTTGCCCCCCTTAACACATTTGTCCTGCCTCTTTCTTTCTTTAGACCTTCTACTGAAGCATGCTAGGGTAGAGATGCACATTCGCTGGGATTCCCATTAGGATTGCTTGGGAAGTTCAGGCTGGAGCTTTGCCATACCCACCGCCCTGTTTTAGGTAAACCTTCACTCTTGAGGAAAGTGACCACTCTCTTGTTGAAAATGCGTTTACAGAGCTCAGTGATGAATCACGTACTATTCATAGGTGTTAAAGATATATAAACAAGAAAAACATCTCTGTCTGTAGTGGGTAGCTGTTCCAGCTTTGACCTTGAAACAGTGCCACACCTGCCTATGACCTGCCCCTGGGGTGTGGCCCTGATGAGACATGTGCTTGCTTTCTTGGCTTTCCGTGGACTTGTAGGCTGGATTGCAGATCAAGTCAGAGTTCTCCAGAGAACTATACTGGACTGCACCTCATCTTTCCCAGATCCTGTAGCTGATCCCTTAGTGGCTGTAAGTTATCCCTGAAATAAACCTTTTTTGATTACCAGGTAAACTACGTGGAATTGTCTCGCTAATTGCTGTTATATATGCCTTCCTGAGATTTATATACAGGAAACATGATAAATAAACAATTAACCTATGATATGCTAAAATGCAATAGAAAAATGAATAGATAAGGGAGATGTGGAATGCTAGACAGGCATTAGACTTTTAAATTGAGCTTTCCTGAGAAGTTTTTATTATGTCAGAGACCTGAATAAAGTAGGAAAAGTAGACCATGTGTATTTTATGAGAGGGCATGTGACCTGCTCCAGGGCAGTGTAAAGGCCATAGAAGGAGCTTGTCTCTGTCTGTCTTTCTGTCTCTTTCTCTCTTTGCCTGTCTTGGTCTCTTTTTCTCTCTCTCTTTCCCTCCTCCCACCTTTCTCTCTCAACACTGTTATTGTCTCCCTTCCATGGTTCTTACAATTATTGTTGCCTTGTTCTATTACAACTAGTGCTATGCCATTTCTAGACCACAGAATGCAGTCCAAGGACTCCATCTGTTTTATTCATGCAATCCTCATGACAATTCCGTTATCTTCATTTTACAAAGAATTCAATGTCACTGATAGCCACACAGACAGCAAGGGTCAGAGATAGAATTAGGGCCCACTGATTTTGCATTCCAGGACTTCGGTAGAGAACTCCACTCTATACCCTAATGCTCTCAGGTGTTCCAACGGTGCGCAGACGGGATATAATCTGTAGTCTTTACTCTTTGCAAAGTCTTGTGACATCCACTTGGTAACTGGCCCCAAGTATCATCTACAGGGTGGAGGTGGATCTTCCATAAACAAGAATGGTTGCTGAAGGGGGAAAATATTCCTTGTTTTCTTTAGAATAAAACATCCAAGTTACATGGAATGCACCACATGATTTTTGTGAATTGAATTCATTTTGGCACCAACAGAAATAACCTTAGGAACAAAGTTTGTATACAGTGCGTTCTTACGGAAACAGCAGTTAGAACACAGAGTAAACTGTTAAAGATAGCCTCTTCTGGAGTTGTGTGAGCTGTCTTTGGGTGGAGATAGCAAATTGTTTCATTTATAAGCCCTGTACATCAAAAGCTTGATCTGCTTATACTTTAAAACCAAAAGGAGGAGAAAGAGTTATTTTTAGCTGTGTGAAATTTAAACCCAACCCAATCCAGGCACGTAGATGCTTCAGGCTACATCATGTCAGAGGATTTCTCAGAGATGACAAGAGCAGTGATATGGAAGAGTCTTCTGTTATAACATGGCTTAATAACCACAGGGACACTGGACTACAGGGAACGGGTTTCTAAAACGTTCAGAAGGCTGCCTGGGTTTGGGTCGCCATGGGAACTGGGTTCAGTTCCATGGTAATGAGTACGATACTGAGGACAGAAAAGGCATTTTTTGGTGTTTATGTTGGACTGTTTGAGCAAAGGATTGCCTAATGCATTCAATTCGTAAGAGAAAGCTAGTTTTAAATGTGTACGTATTTTGCAAATGAGACTTTTTAAATGAGTATGTGTGTGGTAGATGCTATTCATACCCATTTTAGTTAAGTTCAAAAGTATTTGTTAATCTAATGTATTCACCAGATATTTCTTACCTTAGAGATAACCACTAAACATTTTTGAGTAGATATTTACAATTAAGTACAAATACACATGTTAAGTAAATGTAGACACAGGTGTGCATATATAGACCTGTAAACTATAGAGTTTGTTCACTATTGAAAATGTGATGAAAATATCAGTATATTTGGGGGCCTGTTTTTTATTTTAATATCTTTCAGTCACACATATAAAAATACAACACAGACACACAGACACACACAC